AAAGTCTAATAGCCTCTGCGGGGGCCCAAAACGGTCCCCGATACCCTTAAGACGGCCCAAGAGGGCCCCAAGACGGCCCCGGAGCGCTCCAAGACGGCCTCAGTTCGCTCCACGACGGTCCAAGAAACCCCCGAGACGCCCTAAGATGGCTCAAAGGCGGTCAAAGAGGCCCCAAAGACGCTCCAAGTAGCCTCAAAGAGGCTTTCCAAGGGAGCCCGAGGAGACAAAATTCTATTGTTCTTTTTTGAACAATGTTTGTGCAAGTTTTTTGGGTTTTCGTTGTTTCTGGCCAAGAACGGCCGAAAGCAGCCTCAGAGGCTCCAAAGATCGTCCCAAGACGGCCGAAGAGGTCCCTGGAAGGGTCCGAAAGTTGCCAAAGAGGGCCCCAAGACTGGTCAAGAAGGTGCCCAAACGGTCCGACAGGGTCCACAGGCGACCCCAAGAGAGCCCCAAGAGAGTCCCAAGAGAGCCCCAGGAGGCTCCTAAGAGGGCTCGAAGAGGCCGCTCAGAGAGCCCCAAGACGGCCACATGCCTCGAAGAGGCCCCAAGACGTCCCAAAAGCTCCCAAGACGGCCCAAGAGGGCTCCCAGACCACGCTCCCCAACCCTTTTGGAGAAGCCGCGAGGGGGAAAAAGCGAGCACCCGAGAATTGGAGCCGGCTGGGGGTCCTCGAGGCTTCCGGCAGGGGGGGGGGGGCCAGCTCGAGGTGCTGGGTTCGATGCAGTGGATGCTCATGCCAAGAAACGCCCTGCTTGCCTAACTGAAGGGTGCCACAGGTTTCTTGGATCTCGATGGCTTTGCTATTCAGGCGATCACGAACATGGATTCAGGGGGCGTGGATTAGCGACGGGTCCCGTTTCCATGGGGAATCGCGGATTTCCGCCGCCGAGCGAGGCGGCACCGGCAGCATTTTGGGGAGGGCGCCTTCCCGATCCATGGATTAGGCGACCGTGCGCCAACTCCATGGATCGCTAATCCATGTGTGCGCGCCCCCGAGCTATGGAAAGCGTGACGCTCCCACACCAAAAAGCAACGGACGTCTTGAGGCCTCAGGGTTAGGCTTTCTTGTGGAAGGCTTCTTGTGGTCGAGCTCCTGATGCAGGGGGGTCTGGGGGGCGGGTGCGGGCGTGTGCATCGCAGAGTGGGCGCACTCCTACACCCCCCCCCTTCTCCTGTGCGACCAGGCCGGCCAGTCCTTGAAGTCCTACGCCGGAGGGGCTGGGAGCGCCCAAGCTTCCCCCCCCCCCACTCGCCTCCAGGAGCATGAGAGCAGGGGTCGACCTCAGCAGTGTTTTTGGCGATTCCGTGGGCCGTTTCGATTTCGTCCTGGGGTCTCAGGGTTGGGTTTCCTGTGGCAGGTTTCCTGTGGTCGTGCTCCTACTGGAAGGTTTTCTGTTTGCTTGTCTCGGTCTCCGGGGGCCGTCTTTTCGAGCTCCCTGGGACCGTCCAAAACAGCGGACCTGGGCGACAAGAGTTGCACCGGGTGGACCCGGGGAGAGGTCCAGGGACCGAGCCAGGCCTACGATGCTCCAACCTACTTTAGCCTTGATCGCCAGAAAGAATCTCGAGCACCACAAACATACCGAAGCTCGAGGGTTGTCACGTGTCGGGCCCTGGGAGACACTCGTCCGACACCGTTTCGACACTCTTTCGACACTTCTCCAGGGTGCTCGACATTATCTAATTGAACGCCCCTGAGAGGGCAGACACCGCCGCCCCATTTTTTTTGTTTGTTTGTTATTTTTTCTTTTTTTTTGTTTGGAACGCGGAGGTTGCGTGGGGGGCAACTCGGGATGTAGCAGTGGTGTTCACTCAGCTTTGGCTTGGCTTTTCTTAAGTGGGGTCTTAAAGACTCTCAGAAAGCCCCAAGAAAGCCGGGAAATGACATTAAAAAAACGCCAGATTGGACAATAAGGTCTCAGAGGGCCTGGAAAAATACGAAAGTGAGGTCTTAAAGGCTTTCGGAAAGCCCCAAGAGAGCCAGAACATGACTCTAAAAGGTGGCAGAAAACCGTAAGAGATTCTGACAATGATAAGAAAACGCTTGAGGGTGTGCAGAAGTGTGGACGAAAGGAAGAGGCATACGGAGAGGCGTACAAACGAGATACCAGTTAGTTTGGGGGCCTCAAAAGGGACTCCGGGGACCCCCTGGGCGCGCCCAGGACGGCCCAAGGAAACCCCCCAAATGCTGCCAGACGGCCCAGGCTGGGGTCGGGAGGCGTGGAAGACAGCCGCAGAGAACGCCCGCTGATTCCAACGTGCTTCCAAGAGCCCGCGAAAACGCACGTGAGCTCGAAACGAGGCAAGAATAGAGGCTCGACAAGGCCAGGATGGACATAATCATATGTGTTTTACGAGGTTTGTCGCGTGTTAGTTTTTTGTAGTCGAAG